CGCGCAGCAGCCAGCCGCTCAAAGAACAGAGATGGGCTCGCACTCGTAGAGAAAATCCCCTAACCGGCTCCTCAGCAGCAGGGCTGGCTGCCGCGACGGGTGCTGAGGTTTAGTTGTGCTCGCGCGGAGTCTGCAGAGCCGTGCCGGTGACTAGAGGAGACAGCTGAGAGGCCTGGAAGGCAAGGAGAGATGACACAGGGCAGCGGAAAACCATGGCTGGAAAGCCTTCATCCGGCTGCCTGAATTGTCCGTAGCCAAGGCGGAAAAGGGGGAATGAGAGCGTCCTCTGTACGCCGTGCACTAAATACCGTTAAAAAACGCATACAAATGTATTATTGCTGCAGGCGCCAAACAGCAGAAGGCAGGACCCGAGAAACAACCAGCCCGCCCGAGCAGAATGCATTTCCCCCTCCGTTCACAGTTTGGGGTGAGCTACAAGTTGAAATAGTCCAGGGTGCTGTGCCTGCAAAGGTTCGTCGTCCAGACGGCGTCGGCCCTGCTGGAGCTCAGCAGCATCTGCTGCAGCTCCGCGCTCACCCTGGAGAACTTCTCCTTGTCCACGGAGCCGTTCAAGAGGCTGGAGGAGGAGGGAGGCCAGGGCAAGTCCTCGCTGTAGCAGTCCACGGGGTAGGGGTAAATGACCAGCCGCAAGTCCGGCAGGGCCACCGTCCTCTGCAGCAAGTTCTTGAGCCCCTGCGTGGAGAGGGGGTTGCCAAAGAGCCCCAGGTAGCGGAGGCGGGAGCAGCGGCACAGGGCAGGCAGCAGCGCTTCCAGGTGCGCGTCCGTCAGGCGGCACTCCATGATGTCCAGGTGGAGCAGCGAGGACGAGGCCTCTCCCAGAAGGTGCTGGAAGGGTTGAAGGAGGGAGTCGGAGAGGTTGTTGCCGCTCAGGTCCAGCTTCTTCAGCGCCGGGGCGTGGAGGCTTTGGGACAGGTAGCAGAGGTCGTTGGGGAGAAGGTAGCAGAAGGCGAGCTCGAGGCTTTCCAGGGGACCCTGCAAATCGCTGTGGGAGAGAAACGTTACAACCATGAACTCCTAGAAGCCGTGACAGCCGCAGGCAGGAGCTAGAACTCACACGGGTTGAAAAATCCAAGCTAGCGGGGGGCTCCGGCCAAACTAACGCATTAAAGCTTTGACTGGTTAGGCGAGGACCATTCCTGTAGTTACCAAAAGCCTGCGTGCACGTAGACCTGCGCTAGGGAACGGCAGCACGATGGCCGAGTTCGCGTGCGAGCAGGTCGCAGCAGATCCTAGCATGCGAACTGAGACACGTAAAATTCCCCAGGCGCCCAAAAAGAGCAAGCTGCGATGCGTTCAGAGCCGAAAAAGCCCTTGGCCGCCCGCCTCTGCCGCACCAGGAACTTACCCGAGAAGTTGCCTTAGTTTTCCCGAAAGCCTGGAGGAACCCAAATTCAGCTCCTTCAGGCGCGACAGCCTACCGAGCTGAGCGGCAAAGTAATGGAGGCTTTCCTCCCGGCCCCCCGAGGGGAGAGCCGCCGCACGTCGATGTTGCTGTAGGGCAGCTTCAGGCTGACGAGGTTGGTGAACTTGGCCATGTGCGGGAGAACCACCCTGAGGCCCGAGAGCCCCAGGTTGTTGAAGCGCAGGTCCACCTGCCGCACGCTGGCAGGGTCCAGGAACTCCAGCAAGCCCACGGTGCTGGCGATGGAGAGCTCCTCGGCCCGGAAGTCCCGGCACTTGAGCCGCAGGGCGCTGTGGGCGTTGCTCTGCAGGGCGTCCTTCAGGACCCCGTAGGACGTGCTGTTCACGAAGAGATCCACGCGGACCTCCACGGAAACGGGCCGCGGGGGCGGCAGGGTCACCGAGCTGCTGTAAGGCCCCTTCCTCCGCTTGGAGGCGCGCTTGACGCGCTCGCTCTGGCGCTTGGAGACGTCGATGCAGGCTTTGGCCAGCGTCACGGTCCTGGACCACAGGCTCATGCTCTCCGGGCCGTAGTCTGTGCCGTCGTCCTGAAGGCCCGTCATGTCCAGCACCTGCAGGCACTGCCTCTCGCTGGGCCAACACAAGAAACAAATGAACGTGTAACCAGAGAAACCAGGGATCCAAGTGACATCGAGTGACACCGTGCAGCTGGCTCCCGCTGAGCACCGGGCCGGGAACCAGCACCCCGGGGGACGGCTGCGACTGGAAGGGACTTGCTCTGGCCCCGAGGCAGGATAACAGCTACGGCGGGCAACCTGGCGCGCACCGGCGGTGGCCCGGAGACTCGACTGCTGCCTGAGCCCTTTGCTGAGCCTAAGCGTCCCTCTGCGAACCCCTCCAGGAGGAGCGTCACCGCTTCCGTCTCCGGGAGAGGGAAGTAACTCGCTCCCGTCCCCAGGTCCCCCCGCTCCGCGCCCCGTCGAGCCCCGCACCTGGGGCGGCGGTGGCGG